ATACGCAGTCACCAAAGCCGTGGAGAAAGCAGACGCAAAAACTACAGTAAGATTCATATTGGAAACAATACTACCAAGATTCGGGTGTGTTCAAGAGGTCCAGACTGATCGAGGGACACACTTCACTGCGGACATCTTGAAACAGCTTCTCGACGCCCTAGGAATCCAGCATAAGAAGAGTTCGGCATATCGACCACAGCCACAGGGTCTCACGGAGCGCTTCAACGGGACGCTGTTGGACATGCTTCATTTCTACTCCAACAGCCAGCATACCAACTGGAGCAAGTTTGTGGACAATGTGACATTCGCCTACAACACGTCAATACAGGAATCCACCGGACACTCACCATTCTATCTGCTGCACGCTTATGAGCCTCTTCATCCCATCGATTTGGCCATCCTCCCAACAATCCCGGACAACGACATCTTAGAAGCAGTCAAGAGAATCCACGATGTGCGAGAGAAAATCCCAGACATCCTCCACAAAGCCCAGCAGCGCCAGAAGACCCGTCATGATGCAGGACACACACCACGGCATTACGACCCGGGTGACAAGATACTTCTATCAACTCCCCACTCTGGCGAAGGATCAAAGAAGTTGGCCCCCTCCTATCGTGGACCATTTGAAGTGAGGAAGAAGCTCTCGGACCTCAACTACGAGATTCATCTTCAAAAGGCGGGAAAATGGACAACAGACGTAGTCCATGTAAATAGGATGAAACCATTCTATGATAGAAGAGAACAGTTGTAGAGTATTATAGTTATAGAAATAAAGTAGGGATTATTATTTAGCGTAAATAAATTATTGTACTTGGATTTTTTACTTAGGTAGTGTAGTAAATGTAATACGTGGAATGAAAATTTTTATGTTATACTATAATGCAAATCTCCTAAAAAAAAAGGTTACTAGGTAGTATAAAAAGGGTTATTTAATTGAAGGTAGATTTAGGTGTAATACATTATAATACATTGTAATCTAATAGGTTAACAATCCACACACTTATTAATTAATTAGAACATTAATTTAGTTTTTGCCCTACTATCACACAATCACTGATCTTTATGAGTAGGAAAATTACAACAGCAACAGTATATAATTGGCATATGATTTTATCTCTTTTTACTTTCGAAACTGTTGCTAATAATTAATTATTTGTTTGTTCGCCTTGCCATAATCCCATAAAAATTTAAAAAAAAATTCTTTATATTGTATAACGTACATACAACCACTAACACATGTTTCTTTTCTGTTTACATATATCCATGGGAGCTGAGATGCCGACGACGGTCAACAACACATCGCTGAGTTGCACTTAGTCCGCAAGGTCGCCGCCACACCCGACACTAGTCTACCATCTTCGCTGACGCCACCAGTCTTGGCCACAACCTAATCCACAGCCGCTCAACATCTCTACCGTCTTCTCATCAACACCAATTAAGAATCTAAATTTGACATTGTTAATTTTCAATTGCACAGGTTCCTTTTAACAGACATGGGGACCATGTCTAACTAGGTGGGGGTAATGTGACGGGTAGTCACCAAAAATTATTTTCTAAATTTTGGGATTATATTTCAAAAGTAAAAGACCTGGTAAATGGATTTCACAATGCATATACCAGTGTCAGAACATTGGCATTTAGTAGACAGAATTCTTGATGACACGTAGCTTGCTCAATCGACCGACCCACAAAAACCGTAGACTTAGCAATTGTACTTTGGAGAGACTGAGGTCGGAGTTGACCGAAAGGAAGAGACTTGGCCCCAGACTGACAAAGGGGACACTTCGCCGGTCTCCGGGTTTTTGGTAAGGCGATTACTTTATTAATATTTAACTTTATAATTTTTGTGATTGTCCAGGCTAACTTAACCTTTTAAAGTCAGTGATTGATTGATACTAATCGTAATCAATTTTATAATAATTGATTTCATTTATAATTTGTGTGAATAAATATAGTGACTATTAAATTCCTGTTTGAATATAATAACGTGTCAAAGAGAATTATAATTATTAGAGTTTTATATATAAATTTCATTTGCTTAGGCCTACTTAAATAGAAGGAGCCTGTAATTATTTTATCATCCATTTTTATTATTGTCTTTATTATTATCTTTATCATATTGTCCATCCACTTTATTTGAATAATGATTAAACATTCTTATACCTCTCACTAAAGTATTTTTATTATTTTCAATCGATCCCGGTTACGCCCCCGGTCACAATTTCAATCGTGGCACATTTATAGAGGGAGAAAATAAAATTATAAATATTTTGATGATTTTGTATTTTTTAAATTATTAGTACTAAAACTAATTGATCATGTTATGGCTGTATGTGTTACAGAATGTTTCTTTTCTGACCCATAAATCAATTCAAACCATGATAAGAAAACGTGCAAATTCCTGATTCCGATGCGTATTTTTTAAATGATATCAATTAATTAATAACCTCTTTCCTCCAGCTTAAAATATAGGTACAGAAGAAGTATAATACAATTTTCTAGAGAACATTATACCCTGGCCTGATTTGTTCCAGGATGGAGGACTGCTATATCTTTCTACATGTGTCGATAGCTTTGTCGTTACCGACAAGTTGAAGTTTTACTGCTGAACTTGAAAGGTATTTATTTTTCTATTTCTAAGCTATTCATAAAATTATGAAACCTATATTATACTAGCATAGTTTTGATTAAAAGAGCCCCCCACCTTTGGCCATCCATGGTCAAGAAACAAAATAAACTGTACTTCTTTTCAACTTTGAAACTTAACCACAGTCAAGAAAATTAATCTCACCTTGCCATACCATTGATAGTCGATTTGTTCATAGCTATAAGGTGATTAGAATTAATGTAAGTCTAAACACAAATTTATTGTTCATTATTATACTTTTGTTTATTTACGATATACAATTATATTGTAAGCAAAGTATTACAGGAGCTATTTAAAAACGAATAACAGTCATAATTTCCGATGAGTAACTCAAATATTATGTAACTAATGGAAATACTCAGCATGTCCATACCAGTTTGATATAACCAACATTTCTTGTAATTGTAAATATTTTACAATTTTTCAAAAGCCGATCATGTTTTTTAGTGTTTTCTACAAATGTTTCCCACTCATAGCCGTATTAGGTTGTCCATGATTATATTCGTCATTGATAATGTAGCCTGAATGGTATCACCATTGTCACCAGTATTTTAACAAATTTCAGATTTTTTTTTAAATAGAGATACTTTTTGTTCACTTTACTTAAGAACTACCTGATTTCCTTCATAACATGTAGCTGTGACAATTGTATTTGCTTCAATTGACATTCTTTTGGTTCATTTCTGTAATAACGTCAATTATATTTACCTGAGAAAATGCAGAATTAAAAGGCCTGATGTTGTTCAGATGGTTTTTTGTTTCCCCTAACTGAGTTACTTTTATGATTAATTTACGATTACTTTTATAAAAACATATGTTCTAATGTCATTGTCATACCAGTTTTATTTAGCCTTAGAGGGGGCTCCTCTGCAATTATCACAAATTTAATCCATGGTTTCTACTAAAAATGGTAGAACATATCGGCGAAGATCCTGGTTCGTCGTTTTTAGGAAACCTCATCTTGTAGGCGTTCTTCATTATATAGGCTAAATAATGATAATAAATTCTTAAAAAACATCTCTCTATTTTTTCTTCTAGGTCACGTTCTACGACTTTTCTATGTTTTCATAGTTAGCAAATCGGTTTTTTCAAGGATTGTTCAAGAAGTACAGTAGGCCCTACCGTGTTAATTTATTTTTCTTATTTGGTAATATATATCAAATTGTCCAGGCTTTCTTGATTTTTCCCATTGTAATATGTACGCAAACCCAAATTCAAATAGTAAATATTAATTTCATCACTCCGTAAGGAAAGTAACTATTTTCGATAACTGCTGACGTCAATGAAAGTATTCGTTTCCCAAGCTCTAATTTAATAATCAGCTGATCGATTTCCCTCGCTCTAAATTTTCTTTCCCTCGCTCTCGATTAGTTCTCCATTTACTCACTACGCGGGCTAGTGTTTTGTTACGGTTTAATTTAATAATTTGAATCAGCTGTGCTTATTGTTGCACAATCTAAATCTATACAGAAACAGGCATTAGTTTTGTTTTGCTTTGTTTTTAACATAGTGCATGTTTGAAATTGCTCAAAGTATGTCTAACATTAATGATGATTGGATGAAAACAGCTTAACTTATCACCTTTCACGGGATAAATCACGGGAAAGATAAGAAGAGAAATAGAGAAAGCTTAACAAATTACAAAATGCTAAGTTAATTAATGTAAGTGACGAAGTATGTATTAATACATTTATCTAAATAATTTAGAAATATGAAACTTTAAGTTGTGAAGTGTATTTTTAATAATAAAAAGTGGTATAAACTATTTTAATACTACTGAGATATGTTATTCTGTATGTGTGGATTTTTGTGTCGTGATTAAAAGTATTGTTCATAACTCGTACCCAAAGCTTTTTTCCGACACTTGCTCCATTTTTCCCGTTCTCGGATTCCCCTCATACGTGAAAATAACTCTCATCTGCTCGGCTTTGCCTCGCACGTGAAATTTAGTTTTTCTGTGTTCGGCTTTGCCTCACACATGAAACTTGAGCGCTTGTCGGAAAATGCCCCTTTCGGACCTAGTAATGAAATATACTATTTCAACCAAATCAGTGTTTATACACACTCTTCCTTGAATTGCAAATATAAATGTTAACAGCAATTAAGTTATCCAGCTGATCATAATGTAAACAGATATGTTCTTCATAAGGATAACATGGGGACAGAGCCCATGGGGTTTTTTCAAAATGTAATGTCAGTTTGCAAATCTACGCGACATGCTCTTTCCAATTGTAAATGGTTAAGATCGGTTAAGAAATGGCGGAGGAGTTCTAAGGACAAATTTTGTTTTGGCTTATTTATTATATAGATTCTGACAAGAACAAAGACAGGAACAAAAAACCAAACTACAACCAAAATTTTAAATTTTTATTTGGCTATTAATTAATTACACAAAAAAATCTTTACTTAGAAACGTACATAAACAATTCCAACATTTTGCATTTTTTTACACTATCAAATAATAATAAACTATATACATTATCTTGGTGGGGGAATCATATTAGTAAACTGTTCTATCTTCTTAAAAAAAAAACTTTTTAGCATGCTATAAATTTATTTGTTAACCTGTCAATAACTCTTACAGTCAGAGAACATCTTAAATAACTCAGACTTATTCTAGTCACCAACAGTTAACAGAGTTTTTTTCAAGGAAAAACATCCAAAAATATAGAAATTAGTTGTAGGCAGGGATTGTAGTTTTTGTCTTAAAAGGCAACACATGTACCAAGAGAACACTTTGTAGGCACTTTACTAAAATAAATAATTACCAAATGAATGCTTCATTTGGTATTAGAAGGCAGTTAAAAGGCATTTTTAGTCTCTCAAAATCTGTAAATGATTTAGAGAATAAATATTATAAAAAATTACTGGAGGCAAAGGTTTAGAGGACATTATTGATTTTTTTTGTGGGTCTATAAAAGACAAACATATCAAATATCCCTGGATAGGTCACACATTTAAATGTAAAGGAAATAGTGTGAAGTCACTATAAAACCTTGATTTTAAAAAGTTCAGTACCGGTATACAATTTCTAACATTTAGACTAAGGTATCTGGTAATATTAAAGTTTGAATCCCCTCATTAAAACATTGAGTGTATTCTAGAGAAAGTTAAAAATATAAAACAACATACATAAATATAGTACACTTAAAAATCTAAAGTTAATTAATACACATTTATAAAAATGAAATGGTTTCTTAATTTGTATTCTAATATGACTATTAGAAGAAATTTCCATAGTTTGCAATTTAGTTCTTAGTGATTAGATAAAAGTTGATTTTTTTAACAAAGCAATTGAAAATAACCATATTATTAACACCAATTTTTATAAGGTTCTTTCAGTTATCCTATTGATCTATAATATACATTATCTAACATACTTCTATCATATGTGAACACATCAGTATGGTCTATTAAGAAACCATTAAAACATAAATAAAAAATATGGAAAAGAAAAAAGGAATAAGAGAATAAAACACTTCTTTCACTCGCCTCTCAAACAGTCCAATATTAACAACTAACGTTCTACGTATTCGTATCCACTCATCACGCACAACTTTCTATACAATAAAGACAGTAACATTTTCTTACAAACTAATTAAAATAGCTAGTGAATACTTTGGCTCATAAACAAAATTCCAGATTTCTGTGTACATTTACAACATAAAAGTATGTACAATGAATACGGCGATTTACAGCCAATCTTCAGCTCCAACGGTACTTAAAGCTCTTGAAAAGGGGCTTACAAAATTGACAAAAACTAATCTGGGGCATTAAACCTTAAAGCTTAAATAAATCTATAAGTTCCTTAAGAACAGAGTAACTTTACATATATACATTAGACAGTTTCAGGGTATATTTAAGTTTTTAAATTTTTAAGTTCAGTGCGTCCAATATGAATATTTGTCTTTGTGTGTTTTGAGACAAAACTACTTGGTTTACATACTTGTCATTGCACTGGGATTAATAAATAAATAACGACAAAATGCAACACGGCGAGAAAATTAGGTAATGGACAACTAGGAAGCACACATGCAGTTCTAGCAGTCGTGGTTCAACCAGGATGTACTGAAACAGACAAAGTATAGGTTAGTGTGATTTAGTACACAGCGAAATGTTCAGCATCTTAATTTAAATACAGTAGAAACTAAGGTCCCCCGGCAAATACATTTTTTCACTAACAAGTTTTTTAAGATATCGCTGCCTGATTCGACATCTTACAACAGCATTATTCACTGTACAAAATATCAGGAAGAAATTACGCCTGGCCTGATATCGCAGACTTTGTGCCGCTCCCCTTACTAGAACTCGCTCAAAACTTTGCATTTAAGAGTTTGCTGTCGGTATGTCTGTTGCTCATGCAAATTTAGTTACTGTACACAGCTAGGACAGGACCTTATAGTCTTTTGCCATTGTGGTGAGATTGAAAACTTTTGATCGGGTAATCTTTGCAGAAGCTTTCAGCAAACGCGGCAGTAAAAGCTTGACTTGGCTCAATTTCCTGGCATGGTGTTCGATCATTTGAGCTTTTAGCGGCTAGTACCGAATCACAAATCATTGGGCTGTAATCTGTCAACTAAACACCCTCAGGAACACCATTGCGGTGTCCCTACACTGATCAATTTATCTCTAAGGTCCACTACGACATGCTAATATTCTGCCTGTATCCATTCTGTGATCCTTATTAACATCACAAATTATATGTAAATTTGACTGTGAAAAACCATGAATTTGATTTTACAAATTTCAAGTGGACACTAAGTTTTTTATTTATTTGGTCTTTTCCCTATGGGCACCCAATAAATGGTGAAGTACATGTTAAAGTCACAGCTAATTTAAGTGAAAAAATAACTTACGATCCCTTTACACCTTTTACACAATAAAACTTGGGTAGTATACTCTGAATAAAGATTTTCCGATTTCTGAATTTTAAAATCTACTAAAGCTTTGACTTTGTAACATAATTCAGGGCAAATTCATATCTGGGCGTTATGAACAGCTGTCAAATGACTGCCCAGATTCAGCAACGTCTGCATTATTTGCTATTGTGGGTTTATCCCAGTGGTCTCACAATTACAGTTCTCACCTTCCAAGTTTGAAGGTTGCTTATTAGATTCTAGATCTTGATGCCGTTTAGGGCTCTCAACAACTATGGTATTAACAACATGTCCATCGATAACATTGAAAAACACACAAATAATACTTAAGATACTGACCAATGGCTCGTGAGTGGTCAGCAGGAGAAGTGAGCGACCAATAGAGACACGAGGAGCGCTAGAGATATCCTCAGCTCACTAGCAGCTGATCCTTCAACAGCTGTAACAGACCATCAGCTGATGAGTTGACAGGAGAAAACACTGCATGGTGATAAGGGTGATCAGTGAGTATGAGCATAGACAAATAGAATAAATATAGACTGTCAAAGGAAGCTTCCGGCGCACACCGCTGCAGGCAAGGAGCGCAGGAGCCGTATGCTACCAGCAGATGCTGCAGCGGTGTGCGCTGTAACTACACGACACTCCTAGCGGTGGGCGCCGGAACATATGCTAACCGCAGCACTGCTGCCGGTCTATATTCATTCTATTTGTCTATGGTACGAGGATAAAGTAATGTGATAAGTAGGCGAAACATTGTAATAAGTAAAACAGTAAGGTGAGAAAATAGAATAATAAAGAATAATTAAAACAGAGTCAGAAGGAGTTAAAGTTAAGTACCTACCGCAGTTATACTGCGTAATACAAAAATAAAACTATGTAGTGAGTAAAAAATTGTTTAAAAGAGTACAATAAAGTGATAAACTATAGGTAAATTAAATGTTGAAGTAAATTTTTAGTGAAAAGATCTACCAACATTCAATGAATTATTTTTCATCATACAATTAATACAAATTTTCTGATATTGATTTGTGGAAAATAAGGGTACTACAAAAGTCCATTTTATTTAAGTAATCTAACAGTATGGCTAATACAAACAATACAAGGGAAAAAGTATAGCTTTCAAGTATAGTTCACAATTGTGAAATACCATGATCAATAGTTTAAACTCAGAATTGATAGGTGAATGCTAGATTTAGTTATTATACGTCAAGGGATAATCAATTGAAAATCACTGTTCGGGATGATATAATGACTAAGAGGAGAAGAAAGAGCATTAAAGCCCTTGTAGGTAATTTTTTTAAGGCAGGCAATACCCTTTTAATTTTGACTCATTAAGGTTAGATAGTAAAAAGCAGTTATTTTGGTACCGGTATAATAAATTATAATTGTCGAGAGTTTAGTATAACTTCTGTTTCATAAAGCACCCATAAAGCCTCTATGTAAACGTTTAGGTGTTTTTTTGTGACACCTATCTTGTTTATGGTTTTCACCTGATAAATATGAAAAATTACTGTTCGTTGGTGGTAAAGGTACTGTAGAAACTTAAATATTTTTTTACAAAAATTCTATAACAAACATTCCAGAATGTTATGACTGGATTGTAACTAAGATATAACACAGTAATTTTAGAATACTAAGTGTTAGTTTACTTTGTACAATAAATTATATCAAAGTAAAAACTATGTATAAAGGATATAAGATACTCAGTTATGTCTTGTACATATGTTTTCCAGTATAAATTCCAAGGACACTAACAGCAACAGCCAATATAATAGATTAGTGGATGAAACGTAACACAACATTAAAAGGCAAAAAAAGCAAATAAAACCGAAAAACAAACTTACCTAACAGTCCAGTTTCGGTTAAGTCGCCCTCGTGTTCTGTAAATAAAAATAATAAGCTGTGCTGATCTTTACAGTGCAAAAACAAGCTCCAAACAAAAAATGAAACAAGCATAAAATTGTAGCGAACCATAGTGATTAAAATGTCTTGAGACCCAATAAAAAAATAGACCTGATTAAAGAGTTTCTGAATGAATGGATGAATTATGATTTCATGCAAAGAAATGGCATCATTTGGAAGGAAATATTTGCATTAAAAAAAACCCCAGAGTCCTGCTAATCCAAAATATTTGAGACCGGACATGGTTTGCATTACCAACAGATTGTTCTAATCAGCAGGAAATTCAGTAAAATTGAATGAAAAAATTAAATCAATGCATTTTATATGACTGGAAAGGAAATAACCAATAGCCATACATTGCTCCTGCAATCATGAAAAAACTGTGATTGGCTTGTCTTCTATGATCAAGGAAATAATAATTTATTATCTACAGCGATCACGTTCCTTCTTACAACACAACCACCTAAAAAGAGAACCAATGAAACGCTAACAACAATGAATATATTATGCTGTTGGAGCGATTATTATAAATTTTGCAGTTCTGTACAAAATTAACAAACCATTTCACGGATGTTAGGTTTCTTTTACAATTCCCAATTTTCTTGGTTTCCTGATTGGCTGGATATTCTGGTTAGTATTTCAGAACGAATAACTTTCTTTTCTATTCAAAAATATGAATCATTTCTACCCAACAAAAGATGGAGCTGGACGTCTAGTCTAGACGATCGTATTGGCTGGACGTTTGGACCAGCAGGATTCTGGTGTATAACTTAAACTGGTTTATGAAAAGTAGCTTTAGTCTACGATGTCTCCGATGAAGACTACTTAAATAAAATATGGTAACAAGGAGAAAAGTCATCTTTACTACTTCTTTGTTTCTACTTTGACATGGCCAGTTATCGTAACAATTATAAAGTTCTTCAAGATAAAAAATTAAAACCTCAACGCCCTGCAACATTTTGTACCAGGGCTTGATAACAGCTCAAGTAATGAAAAGGAAATTTGATATTCAGTGTGAGTTGAGTTATAGAGTACGAAAATGAAACTAAGACTCAGAGAAGAAAAAGCAGATTGTGGTGTTTTAAGTTCTTCTTGGCTCTTTACTCAACACTTGTTATGACAATTTGATCAAATCTGGAATTTTATGCCATGCTATAGAAGACAAAAAAAATATATATTCACTAAGCTAGACGATAATCATTTAGTGGTGGCACGAAGAGGTAGAATGTTTTTTTTTTGTTGGGGGGACAAGAAACAATAAAATAAAAATTATGGAACAATGATTCTCTTGAAATGTTGTGCATTTTGAAATGTAATGATACCTATTAATAAATTATGGAAAAAAACATTTTGGAAATAAAAAAGAATATGAACCAAAAAACCTTAAAATTGGATTTGTAGCACATAAAAAAGTCAATGTTAGTACTCCCACATGACGTTTTCAAACAAGTTTGTTAGTGGAAAAGTAAAAATAATTATTAGCAAGTTAGTGCAAAAAAAGAAGAACCCATGTTAGAAGAAACATTGTCTTATATTGGCTGTATATTTAATTCAGTAAACAAAAAAAAAAAACATCAAAAAAGTTTTAAAACGTAGGCCTACTTGTGGTCGAAAAAAACCCCTCGAAATCCTTAACAAAAAACAAATTGCTAAACTTATTAAACATCTAATTAATCACTTACCTTTGGGGAAGGTAATTTTGGTTGACATTTCTGACCATCCGTGGATGTTCTTGGCTTTAAGTTGAGCGTTGTAGACACCTGGCTCTAGACCTTGTAGTGTGTGCTTCATTATGTAGAAACGGCCATCGTATGGGGCTGTGACTGAAGGCTTTACAGAGGTCCACTCATCACTCTGTAACATCAGATCACCTCTTAGGCTAGTACAACAAATTGGAGAAAATATTTTTTTAGTTGGTCAATTGTAACTGATGGAATCTGTGCTACTGCGTACTAAATAAACTAATAAACCTGTATCATTCCTCTGGATAGTCAGAATTAACAAATAAAGGTATGTAGTGAAACTCCACAACCCCTATTTTGTGCTGTGAAAAATTGAGCACATATTTAGGTTAGAATGTCTGGCTGATTAAAAATCCCAGTACAGGGCTGCTTTTAAAATTGGCCTGGTCTTAAGCACGTGAGAGGTTTTAGGTTTGTTGGGAGTGCAAGCAAGAGAAATAGATTTTCTGCAGTGGTTGAATAAAGCTACAACAGATTGTTTCAACAGCCAAACACATAACATGGACAGATGCTCATATAACCAACAGAACGACTTTCTTTATAGCACAAAATACCTATTGTTCTGTTTTTGATTTTGTCAGGCCTATTTGAACTCATAAGCCTAATGATATAGGAAAACCTGTATGTTTACAACAATACCCTACTTACTTCCTCTCTCTTGTAAAGTAGTTCGTAGTCTTCGATGGGAGCAAAGCTCTCGATTCTGAAGGTAAGGAGGGGGTTCTTGGATTCACCTTCCGTTACAACAGTGTCTGGCTCAGGTTTAGATGGTTTGCCTGGAAATATTTGAAACAAACTGTCAATTTGTGTTTTATTGTGTGTTCATTAATAGAAAATATAATATTGTGACCATTTCCCATGTTCGCGTGGACATCATCACCATCTCCCGCAATCATGGCAAAAATCTTTTTTATCCCCATCCCGGTCACAGAAACCTCATCATTGTTTTCCGTGATGGCGAAAAAACCTGAATATAATCAGCAGTAACAGGAACCTCATCAGCGTCTTCTGCGATCAGAGAAACATTTTTGTCATCCCCCAAGATGCGGCCAAATCTAGGAAACATTATCAAAGTCTACCGCAGTCATGGCAAAATATTGAACACCTCCTGCGGACACGGGAACGAAAAGTCCAAGGCAAATTCCACAGTGTGGAAAAAATCTTCATCCTCTCACACAATCACGGAAACTTTAAGTTGGTTATCTGTAATCCCGGAAAACTCCTGAATATCTCCTTGCCGTAAAGGAAACAACGCATATACTGCAATAATTGAGGCAAATCCTGAACATACTGTTCCTCGCATAATCTGACCTTTTCACTGTTCCGACCAAGGGCAAGACTAGATGGATTCTACTGTTCACCCCAAAAAATTTATTTGTTTGTCACTGACAGCACTTTCAACCTAGGATTAGCTAGGATTGGGCGTGCTAGTTATTATTTTTGCTAATGGAGCGTTTACACAGGGCTAATTTTTAAGCGTTAATCAGTTAGCAGCAAACACTAGCCTCGTGTTTTTAAAAATTTTTTTACCAAAACAATTTACCTGTCAGAGTGATAATAGCTTGTTGTTGTCCTTCAGTGTTCTTCGCCTCACAAACATAGTCACCAAAGTCTGATTGTTGAGTTTTCAATATGCGGAGTATGTGTTCATGGCCCTTCTTTTCTAACCTAATTCTATCTGAAGCCATGATTGGCTTTTGGTCTTCATTTCTGTACCATCTCAGCTGAAAGACAAAAAAAACTTTAAGAAGAATATACAAGCACTGTGGGAAAATTTTTGATTTAAATAAAGATGTATTTTTTATAGATTGTGTTTGGTTAAAAACCTTAAGATACGGTTTGAAGATGCACATACATGACTGTATGGTGTATGGTAACTTTGCATCACATTGGTATATTTTCTTTGAGAAACTACTTCTTGTCTTTTGTATATTCCTACTGATATCAAACATCTGCAAAGTAAATAGACATATAGTTTCTGCCCCCTCTCACTGATTTCACGATTTATTTCACTAAACTGGTAACAACATCCTTAGCACACCTATTTGATAAAATGTTATCTTCTTGTTAGATTGTTAAACGTTAAACTAACAAAATCTTATGATAAATTACTGTGTTTTTTTTAGTAATACTTTGCAAATCTACGTTTATTGAAAAATACCTACCTCTGGTTTCTTCATTCCGTTAACGCTGCATTTAAGTTCAGACTCGTAGCCTTCTCCTGTGGGTACAATTGCTCTTCCAATTGTTATCTGTGGCGGATCTGAAAAAATCAAAGTTTAATATTGAGATATTTGTTTTAAATTATGCAAAATCTTTTAAAATATTTTTTAATTATTCATAAATAATTTTTGAAATTAAGTTTAATTCTTTGAGCCCTTTCACGTAATTTAACAGTGCCAGGTCCATTCCCGGCAGGATAAGTTAGTTTTGCAACATTTGGCTTAAAGACTTTGTCAGTAGAGCTGGTTAAAAATTTTGAAAACAGGGTACCAACATGTGAATCCAAGACATAACAGCTTTGGTTTCAAAGTATGTCGCCTTAAGAGTCGTCATCACCCTCAGGCTTGTTGCGTTTTGTGATTGCACAATCTGTGGTGGATTTTGTACCGGCTGCTCGAGTATGAACTGTCGTTCTCTTACACATAATAAAGGTAACAAGTAATAAGCTGAAGTTTCGACTTTTACTTACAGTGAACCTCGACTTCTACGATCTTCTCATCAGGCATCTGTTGTCCGTTGGTGGCTGTGCACTTGTACATTCCGGAGTCTTCCAAGGAAGCGCTGGTGATGGTGTACCTGGCTCCGTGGATGGATGGATCTTGGTCTTCCAGTACATGGCCCTGGGACAGAATCAAGTCAAGCGTGATATTAGCAGCTTCAACTAGGGGCTGCATACAGGGGTGTTACACATGGGATTAGCGTTACCCCTTTATTTTTCCAAAATCCTATATTTTAATAGGCAACCTTTGATTTTTCTTTTTTGAGACAATGGTGAGCGTTCCCGCATTGGACTACATCACTAGCTGTATGGCAATTAGTTAGGACACACAGAGATTATGGTGTTAATTATAAGGCTTTTACAGTTGGGCACAGTGGTTACTCTTTGTTTTCAATCGCAGTGTATTTCACAGTTTGTCAAATCCTTAAACATGCTTCCCCAGGCCCGCAGTTTGTATATTGCTAAGAGCTTGAGAGATAGTTGCGCATCTCTCCACATACCTAGTGGGGAAGTTTTAACATTCCTCCAACAAACCTAAATCCTCTGCTTGTGCCCCTGGGCCCAGGCCCACCATGTCCGATTATGATAGTGACCCTGTGGTTCCCTCTCACATATACCCAATCCTTAGTCTCAGTGCAAACAGAATATTAAAAAATGTGTATAGTACTACTAAACTGACTTTGGAATTTGGCGGTCACTAACCTCAAACTTGTTTACTTAAGTTAAATTTTTTCTCAAGAGTTTTTAAATCTTTAAACAATTCCTAAAAATTATTGCAGTAGATTTTTATAATTGTTTCATATAGACAATATTTTTTCAATTCCCCAAACTGATGGTATTGAAACAACTATGTATTTAAAGCTAAAATGCTCATGTTTTTTTAGAAACTTATTACAACTCGATATAAGCACCTTCAGCACCATTGGTGGCCTGGCAATATAGCGACATTTGACCTCTTTCCAGTTTTTGGTCAGTAGGTACTTCAGGGGAAGTTTATAGTGACATGTTACAGGAGTACTTTTTCCCACAGTTGGATAACATTGCGATGGAGAATGGCTCTGTCTATTGTCAACGGGATGGAGCGACACCACACTACAGTTTGCGTGTGCGAGAAGCACTCGTTTCGACAATCGGTGGATTGGCAGGGAAGGGTCCATCCAATAGCCTAGGAGTCCAGATATGACTCCTCTGGACTTTTTCCTTTGGGGGCAGTAAAGAATGATATCTACCCGGTCCAGATTCGGGATCTGAATCTGAATCATATCCGACAGAGAATAGTTACATGCGTTGATGCAACATCTCCTGAAGTACTGACCAAATCCTGGTAAGAGGTCAATTTTCGCTTAGATCTATGCCTGCCCACTAATGGTGCTCATATTGAGTTATACTAAGTTTCTATGAAAACTCGAGAATTTTAGCTTTAAATACATATACAAAACATTAAACATAGCCTCTTTTGGTATCAGTATTTGCCTTTAAAATGTTTCAGTTCTTTTGTGAACACCTGTATTTATCTTATAGATTTCTAAAGGGTTCAAGGGTACTTACATTGCGGAACCACTTGATGGAAGGTGTTGGATATCCTTGAGCGATACATTCCAAGGTGAGCGAAGAACCTTTTCTGATGTTGACTGACTTCTCACTAGGTGAAAAGCTGGTTATACGAGCAGCACCTGTCATTATCATAATCATTAGAAATATCAGCATAAACATCATAATCACACAATTTTAAAACATAAATAGCCCGCAATGATTGCCATTACTCCTTTAGAGTGATGTGAAAGATGTCTTTGACAGCAACAATTGGTTGTAACAATTTAAGTATAAAGGATCCTTCATTGATATAGGGTCCAGTGGATTAAAGGAATCAACGTCTTTATTTTCCAGTCAAACCCACCATCAATGAATGATGTTGATGCTCACAAAATTTACCCCCAGGCCTAAAACAGTTGGTACAAATGTGATGTTGGTAGATGAAGTACACTAATTTGTTCACTTATCAAGTTGAATAACTGGAATACCAATACAGTAAATGAATAGTCTATGGTATTAGTTTACTAATTTTGTGCATAAATATTTTAATAACGTATCCAGTCATTTTTGTTCATAACTTTAGATATCCCAGACATTTTTTTTAACAAAGATCAGGACCAAATTTAGTACTGGTAGTAGCCTACTTGGTACTTGGTTGTACAAGTACAAGATTTAACCAAGGGGACCAAAGTACTACAAGTTTAGAGATTTTGTAAAAAATATGGTTTCATGCCTTATTAAATACCAGTAAAATACTCACTCTTGACTTGCAGGATATGTTGAATCTCTTCTCCCTTCCCTGAAGAGATCTTGCAGTAGTAAGTCCCAGCATCACTTGGCTCTATCTGTCGAATCTCCAGTGTTCCATTGGCCAGGTTGGTGATTCGAGGATTTTGATCTCCTTGAGCGATGTTCCCAACAAACAGCCCGGTCTTATCTTTACGCCAGATCCTCGAGAAGGAACCTGCAAATCCAAATTGTATTGATAGACAACATAATTTTATTTTTATGTTCGCATTCACATCGTAAGACACTAGGCTCTTGCCAAGAACCTGGTCGAGGGTTGTGGCATCATCACAATCTGCTGGTGGGATTTGTAACCCAGACCTCAAATATCTAGAGCTCTTCTACTAGACCAGCTAGCTTTTCTCAAGGCAACATAAAAATAGTGTACACTAAATTGTTTTTCATAACATAAATAAACATACTCTTTGATATTTCCAAAAATTCCCCTAAAATTTTGTTGTTTGGATTAAAATCCTATTCTAAGTTAGTGAATTAAAATCAAACATTTTTTCACCTAACTAACACATATAATTATTTTCATGATTACTCCAGTGCAGATTCATTAAACATGGTTTCTGCATTTTCCAGAAAGATTAAGGAAAAGAAAAGGAAAAGTATGCGGATCAAAACAGATGTTAGATGTAATGCTTACTGAACAACTTGAGTGAAGAAGTTAGAAATAGATCGGATAATCGAGACTTTACTGTTTATTAAAACGAATCAATAATTTTAATCTCTACTCAACATACTTGGATTGCCATCCACATCACAAGGCAGGAAGGCGACGTTGCCGACTTCCACTACTTGTGTGGACCCGCGGCTGATGATCTGTGGAGGAGGACCGGACTCCTCGTCCTCATCCCCGTCTGGGTAGTCGTCTCCTTCCCCGTCCTCCTGGTAGTCGTCCTGCTGTGGTCTAGCTAGTCCTGGAACAGGAGAAACTATTAGACTAGATGAAACAGGGACATGGAACTCCATTAAGAAAATATAGAATAGATGACACATGTGTTGGGGATCCTAACAGCTGATTGTCACTGTAATTTTGTATTATATGTGGAAAAAGTATTGTTTTTGTCCAAATTTTTTATTTTGAATTTTGTGTTGAAATATCTGTTTCGGGCCCCCCTTGAACCCCAAAAAGTTATCTTCGTAGAGATGTCTGTGCTAGTCTGATGGTGAGTGGATGTGTACAATTTTACTAATATCCAAATATTGTTACAATACTTGCAATGATTCCCAGGCTTTTTATACACTCTGTTTTGTAAAAGTGTGGATATTTGTAAATCGACGTGGTGTTTTTGGGTGTTTGATATAACATACATAAATGGATTCAACTATCATTGGGCTTTTAAGTGGTAATAAGTGGTCCTGGCTAATAAAACAGTTGGTCTCAGTCAGTAACAAAGCTACACAGGACATCTCATTTCATTTTACACGCATCCTTCACTCAATATGTGGGTTAAAACATTTCAATCGGTGATTGGTAATGTAGGAGAATAACTTCTGAATTAAGGCATGCCCATTGCCCGAAGTCTACAATAACCCAAGTAACCATCATATTCTCCCCTTGATACAAATACTCTTATCAATTGAATCCCCCTCTCTTCTCCCCACAGTTTAGTATGACTCACTCTTCCCCTATTGATAGAAAGAATAATAAGCTCTTCCCTTGGTAGTTTTCTCTTCCACTGCTCAATATGGTCTATTGAAAAATAATAATTGTTCTTTGATTTGAATCAGAAACTGGTTTTTCAAATGGAAAGTTAAGGCTAGAAGTACAGTAACTTTCATAAACAGTATTTTCGTAGACTTTCATAGCTGTACTGTATTTGTTTGTTTATACATTTTTTTACAGTTTCTCTCTTGAAAATATTTAGAACACTAATAATAATCACTCACACTGAATTAAAGTATTTTTTTTACTATAAGATGCACTTGGCAGTTTGCAGTTTGAAATAAAATATTAATTATCGGACACTAACCAAATTCATTATTACAATTTGTAAAAGCGTTTATTCTTACCCCACTCAAATTAAATATTTTACGCAGGATTTGGATTTTCAAATATCCATCTTCATAAAATCATCTGGATTGGAGATTTGGAGTAGTGGTGGTTTTTGTATCGACGCCTTCATTTAAAAGACGCAACTTGCAACAGAGTCGTGTATGGCAAATTAAAAACGAGCGTTGTAGGCCTCGACAAATCTTATGAATAACGTTTTTTTTCCCAAAATTACACAAATACTGTAATAATAAACAACATGAATGAAATAAATTGTTATTAATTTAAATTTATTTTTATTAAGTACTGAAGAAAACTGAACACAAAAATACTTAACTAAATAGTAAACATGTCCGAATAATGGACCCTTTATTTAGATACAGTATTACTATGTACTAAATTACAGGGTTTTAGGAGTTCAAAGCTACAAATAAATATGTTTCGATCGATTTTTTTATCTATTGATTGACAATATTAAAAACAAAATATATAGAGATAAAAATAGCCAAATAAAATTAATATAAATGGTTTTTAGCTTGTACTAAAAACAATTTTGTATTTAAATTCATTAGAAAACTTTTTCTTAAGTAACGTTGAAATATACTACACGTCGAGATGATAGTTTTATGTGTCTACAAAAAGAAGTGAATCTAAAATAACTTTTACCAGGTGTAGATTTTGATTTCGATCCAGCGACAGTTAAATTAAAGATCCACTATATGGGTCACCCAGAAATAAATTGCATTTCCTTGATAAAAATAACAACAGAGTCGTCGACCTGGCGGTCAATATAAAACCTTGCTATCTGTGTTTTTATGAAGATTTCATCAGTTAAAAACTGAAACCGAGACTTATCACTCGATGTCTCAATGATACGCAATAATAACATGAATTACAATGAAATCTATAAATGTACGTCTCGGGTTTTAAAAGGATTGATTGTATAAAAAGATAATTATGATGGTAGATTTAGGCATTTTTAAAGATAGTGATTGGTACAGTTCAGTATTTTTACAGTAGTAAATTTCTATATTTTACAAGGTATAGTAGCAACTTCGTGCCTTTCAAAAGATTTTTTGTAAATTTTTTAGTAGTAAATTTCGGCTCCATAACGACATAAACATAGTGGTATATTTAAATATTTTAAATTAAATGTGGTAAAATTCGGGGTTTCAAGATATTGACGTACATTTTTGGTTTTGACGATACATTAGTAGATTTCAATGTTAGTACAACACATAATATTTCTAATAATTGTAATTGAATTAGATTGGGAATAAATTTACCTAGACCAAAGTTGGTCAAAAGTGGGTTTCAAATACAAACTTTGCCACTTTTTATACAACGTAACAAAGCCAAGTGCAAAAATTATCTAATTAAATCAATTGTTCTACTAAATTAAATGTAACTGTTGTTCAGAAGTAAGTTCAGACAACACAATAATCGGAAAGTAAATTCGCGGACTTGAATCGAGTCAAGGTTCAATTGTACAGCGACATGAACTATGAGCACCTAAACAAAGATTTGCGCAATGACTAACCTAACATTCCAACAATAGGTGTGCTCTGAAAAACCTTGAACCATTCGTATGTTGCTTAGTTTAAACCTGTGGAAGTCAACTATAGCTTTCTTATATTCGAGTAGATGTTTAGCACTTAAGAATTTAAATTATATGGTTTGTACTTACATTATGTTTTTGTAACATAAAAAAGAGTGATAAAAATACTTCACCGTGATATCCTATTAGAAACACGCACCATATTTTCCCAGTTGTATATGGAGCGGGTGTCCGTTTCAACCCTAGTCAAAACCTATAAATCTTGCAGACAATGTTACAACTTTTACAGTGTCGTTGAAACCGCTGTAAATTCTATGTTTTACGACAAAACATGACAATCTATTCCAAAACGGGTTTAGCCAATATTTTACACAGCTGCAATCTAGACTGCAAGTAACGCTGCAGTGGAAGCTGGTTTTGACGTTTGAACTTTAAAATGTAATAGAAGATGTGAATTAATTGATAGGCCAACCCCTTTACCTCATAAACTTCTGTGTATTTTGCTATAAACTGCAACAAACTACCAAGCAGAATCAGTTTATTTCAGTAATGCAAAAAATATTATTGGCAATTGTCTTCGCAAAAAGTTAAACATGTTGAGTAAATAGCTAAATGAGTAAATGTGACTTAAATTATCGGTTAAACGGTAGCAAAAATAAATTGCTCTAATAAATCCCTACATTAGGAAGTTTTTCTTATCTCCTTGCTATGACCCGTAGCTTACTTCAGTGGCAAACTTGTGATAAATATGGTTTCATAAGCAGAGTGGCAGATCACAACAGTTGAAAATGTTTTATCAATCAGCTGTTTTAACCTCTAGGCGCAAGTGACCTGTAGAGACTATATCATGCAGCTGGTGCCAATTATTTCTTCGGTGTAAGCTTAATTAAGTTTAAAATTTCTTTTTTTAATAGTGACTCATCGTATTTTGGATAGCCAAAGTGAATTTATCGAATGGCTTTCAGTAAAGCAAGTTTTCATGATCGATAAAAACCTTGTTTTGCGTGATAATAAACAAATTCCTTCTAAGTTTTTTTTAATGTAATCTATCAAATACTAATTAGCTAATTAAAAATTAGTTTAAGTGTCTCTGTTTACAGTATATTATAAAAACATTACAGTTCTTCTCCTAAGCTAGAGTGTAATACAGTAGAAAAAATGTGTTAAGTATAAATTGTTTTACAGGGTGGTATGGATACAGAATCCGTTACATACGGACGCACAATACTGGGTGTCGACATATCCGTACTATACCATATCATTACTTCCCTCAGTTTACCACCCTTCATTTCATGAAGAGGTGTTTAATTTTTAATCGACCGCTCAAACAGGTGGCGACTGGCAACACTGGTTTTGTCAGTAGACAGCTGTTTCCGCCCCTTTGTCGCATTAGGTCACCAACCTCAAATTGTCCATTCATAATTTATATCGAATTACCCAATTTACAACAATAGTTGTTTATGTTGACTTGATTTTTTGGGTTATGCAATTGTTGGAGGTTGAGGTTGCATTTGATGTTTATTCTCGTTTCGCAGCATTAAAAATAGGATAATGTATATTTCTTATCATAAACATTAGGTAACAGTTAGCAAATTGTGTCCATAGTTTTGAAATAATATTAGTTCACTTTCCTTGTGGATACTAAATTGCGGTTCCAATAGATAAGTAATAGATAATTAGCTAATATTTACTACACCTACACAGTTTGATTACAACAAAAAATAATTTGTACTACGGCAAAGAGATGTTATTATATCAGTACCTACATAATATTGACGCTCCCCTATGTCACATCCTTAAGTATCAGCTTAAGGCAATTTCAAGACATGATTTTTTGGTTACTTGGAATTCGTTTTAATGTTTGCTTTTTCTTCACGATGATCACCTCTACATTTTAACAATAGCTTGTCCCCTAAAATATTATTGAAAGTGTGAAGCTCACATTGTAAACTAACCTCTTATCAGGAAACGCAAATACAACTGAACATGAAAACGATTAAAAACACATACAGTGTAAACAAGCTTAGCAATCTGACGAGATCAAAAAGTCTAATTATTGTTGTATTTAGTCAGATGCAACGCTACATCCTTAAACACAACTATATAAAACGGGAAAGCGTAGCGATATTTCTAGCAATATCAGAACGTTACCTCATTACAATTACAACATAAAAAGCTTACATGGGTGAAATTAAGTTAATAACTTGACAATTTATTGGTAAGACATGACACGCCCGGAGTGCCGGTGATTTGGCCAATAGGCCAATGATTAGATCCGAAATATAGATAAAGCTTACTGTTATTGCTATGTGGGAGAAATCAGCCGCCTTAAATAGCTTGTACGATTTCTCAAAGTCCGTTTCTCA